AGTAAGCACAAGATCCCGAAAACCCTTAGCAGGATGCAGCGCACCCTTCATGCAACTTGCCGAATATCTCACGGCGCTTCGCGCTTGGTGATGTGAGAGCCTGGTCCGGTGAGAACCCGGCGTGCTCCGTCCCGGCTTTGTAGGGATGCGAGGTCAAGGGTCTAACGACTACGGCATGCACGACAATGAGTACACCCCCTCCCCCCGTCGTGTGGTACGTGCGCGTATTTATTTATTTATTTATTGTCTCCCATTATTGGACTCTGTCGTCTGCCCCTCTGGCCCCTATCCTCCACTTCTACCAGCTACACGACCCAACCGGGGTCACATAGGAGGGGGGAAGTGGACCCCCTCCTGCGGTTCCTGTCTGAGATATTTTTATCGCGAGAAGGGTACAGCAACCCCTTCCCTCGCGACTTATGAAGTCGATCATATCGTACAGTGTTGTACGTCTACGCTATTTGTAGATCTTTCTAAGAGCCGGATAATTTTCTTTGTGTGGGAGTTTGCTGCATACGTTCATCGTCAAATCGTGTTTACACACGCATGTATCTTCCATTCTGGCGTATGCAGGCGGCATGGTGGCGCATCGACGCACCGTATGCGTCGTCGTATCACTAGCTCGATAGGTCGCGTTGGTAGCTCACACGGCCCAAACACATTTTCATTACTAAACCACCTCTGAAATGAACATGATGCCGTTGGTTGCTGCAACACCAACCCTGCGGTCCGATTGTTTTCCAACATTGTTCGAAAGCGAAAAAGAGAAAAAGTGCCATCAAGGCAGGAAGATAGAAGGCGAACCGGTCAAGAGGACCGAGGACCGATACAGCGCGCAATGCGCACGCTTCTGGCGCATGCAACTTGTTTCCTCATCGACTCACCACATGCGCGTTCGTCGTATGCGTACCGTGGCTTGTTGGTACTACAATGTCGCGTTGGAACCTCACTCAACCCACACACTTTCAATTGCAGTACTAGCTACTACTGAAATGAACTTTTAGCCGTTGGTTGCTGCCAATCGGGCTTTGAGATCCGATTTTTGCTGACATTGTGAAATTGGTTGAGATGACCAACCATGCAACATACGATGAATATTCATGGAGGGGAGCGGAGGGCCCCAAACTTTCTGTCGATTTCCATACTTGCATTTATTCGTACACCAAATGAACAATGTGATCGCTTTCCACCCTCTCTTTGTGTGTCTCCTTTGATAAGCCTCTGCTTTCGTGGTTGAGACGCCAACCAACGTCATGCATTCAACTACACCAAGGCGCACATTGCACACACGAGCACCAACTTGAAGCACACCAAACGTGTAGAACATCTGCCACCCACGACGCGCGACATCTCCAGATGGCGTTCCACTTGTACGTATTGTGTTGCCACGCCCGCGGATCAGGGCTTGGCCGACCATGTCGCACGGCACAATTGCAAGTCTGGTACGATCAGATTCGTTTTATCTCTCTCGTGATACTGTCTAGTAGCGTAGAAGATAGACCCACACAAGTTTTTGGCAGGTCGCCTGCCTATTGGTGAAACCGAATCGTGGTGGAAACAATTACGCTGCACAAGAGAGTGGTTCAAAGGTAAAAAAGGTATTCTCAATGAGATCTAGGCGTTTGCGGCCATGGGTTGAAATCGATCCCGGTGTGGCTCTGTACACCAAATAACTTGTTAGTGACTGTTGGGCGAACTATGGCTGGAGATACATCCGCGGCTCCTACTTGATGGTTGATTTAATCAAACCCGTATGTAGCCTCTGCCGTCGCCTATTATCTTAAATTGTCAAGAGAAGCCCTTCGCCGCGAGCGAGGGGGTTGTCCATCCAGAATCGCCTCTTAGGCTGCGATACCCCCTCTTGTGTGGCATGAGTGAAATATCCCCCCCACGGTCTGCAGAGACCACTGCCCCGGCGCTGTGGTGATGTCGTCGTTACTTCGGCGTTGCCAGAGTTCCTGGTGCCGGCACAGGCA